TGCGGGAGCAAGGCCTGGCCACAGCCTCTCTGAGGGTACTCCTGGCAGCTATAGCAGCTTTTCACCCCGGGGAGGGTCAGAGGTCCATCTTTGCTAATCCTATGGTTAAAAGGTTTCTGAAGGGAATTGACAGGATGATGCCATATGAGAGACCGCCGGTCTCGCCTTGGGACCTTAACCTGGTCCTGACTGCCCTTATGAAGCTGCCATTTGAGCCTCTGGCATCCTGCTCGCTGAAGCACTTGTCTTACAAGGTAGCTTCCTAGTGGCCATTACCTTGGCCAGGAGGGTGTCAGAGCTTAGGGCGCTGACTTCAGAACCACCCTACACGGTGTTCTTTAAAGACAAGGTGAGGTTGTGTCCACACTCAGGGTTTCTACCCAAGGTTGTCTCACATTTCCATCTCTCCCAGGATATTTACCTACCAGTTTTTTACCCCCAAGCCACACACATCACCCAGGAAACAGGCTTTGCACTGCCTGGATGTTAGGAGGGCATTGGCTTTTTACATAGGATGTGAGGGTTTCGTAAGTCACCTCAATTGTTTATTTCAGTGGCAGAAAGAATGAAAGGGTTGCCAGTCTCGGCGCAGTGTATATCCTCGTGGATTACTTCCTGCATTCAGCTATGCTACGAGGGTGCGGGTAGGTCACTGCCACGCATAATGGCTCATTCCACAAGAGCCCAGGCGATGTCGGCAGCGTTCCTAACTCTTGTGCCAATCTTGGAAATCTGCAGGGCAGCAACATGGTCGTCGGCGCATACCTTTGCGGAGCATTATGCGATTACGCAACTGGCCAGGGAGGATGCTGCCGTTGGGAGGGCAGTTCTGAGATCTGCAGAAAGATAATTAGGTAGTTAGTTACCATCCGACTCCCCCTCGGGGGGGGGGCGGCGGCGACACGGCTAGGGATTCACCTAATCAGAATGGACATGAGCAACACATCTCGAAGAACTACAGTTATGAGGTAAGTAACCTCTTCGAGTGCTTGCTCATGTCCATTCTGCATTCCACCTGCCTCCCTGTGTCGGAAGGAGCTGGCAAGAAGGAACTGAGGGAGTGGAGGGGCCAACAGGGGTATATGTGCACCAGTATACCAGCGCCATTCCAGGGGGCTCCCTGCTGGCCCTATGGATACCGCTAAGGGAAAAAAGCTCCAGAATCCGTGCACATGGTGCACGTACACCTAATCAGAATGGACATGAGCAACACATCTCGAACTACAGTTATGAGGTAAGTAACCTCTTTTTTTCAAGACTTCTAGGAAGGAATGTTCTCTGTTTTGTCAACACCATTCCTAGTAGTAAATGTGACTGGTGCAAATTAATATTCATGTTACTGTAGCTCTGCTTGTAATTGAAACCCTAGGGCTACGTCTACACTGCGCATCGTTGCACAAGAAGATATGCATATTGCCATGCTTCCTTTGCATATCTTATGAGCTGCCATTTTTGCGGAAGGGGCTTTTGTGCAAGAAGGAGCTGTCTTCGCTGCTCCTTCTTGTGCAAAAACCCCTTTTTGTGCAGGACCCGTTCTTCTGAAAATAAGCGGCAGAACCTATGCCTACTGGAAGAGTAACTTCCAGCTGCACTGGATAGTCCGTCAACCCACTTCTCAATGATATGGACAAGTGAAATGGAGTTGGTTTTCATGACATAATATTACGGGAAAGTGTTTTGATTAAATTGCATCAGCGCCAGGATTGAGACAAGGAAACATGACTGCTAAGTTGTTCTGGCCAGTCACAAAAGTTGTGAAGACAGGCAAACCAGTCACACTTAACTCTAATGCCACTAGCAGGAATTGTAGAGGTACTTGTTCTTCCAAAGCAATAGCACAAGTACTAGGAAGGCAGGCACCTCTGACTGAAATTCCTCATGAACCCTGATAAATCTGTGCCCCTTTCTCTCTGTGCCCCTCCCCCATGTCTTTATGGATACCCAGTAGAGCATGGTCAGAACTGCACAGCACTGTCACTGAGCAAGCCTAGCATCTCAGAATGTCTCTTCTCATGCCTGTCATGTGAAATGTTCCACCACTCGTGCAGACAAATGTTCCATGCCCAGTGTTGTTCATGTTTCCATTCACTGGTCTGAAATAATTTTCTAAACTGTTTCAAGCTTCTGTTGCTTTAAAGGAATATGGATGCAATCTGTAATTCTGAAGGACTCTGGATATGTCTATATTTCATTCCTCTCTCTCTCTCAATGCAAATGCAGACACCCAAAATTGCAAATGAAGTGGATTTAAATATCCTGTGCTTCATTTTCATAATTACGTTATGGCGCTATTTTAAAATGAAGTGCGGGATATTTAAATCCCCACTTCATTTGCAATTTCAGGTGTCTGCATTTGCAGAATAAGTGAGTGAGAGATGAAGTGTAGACATGTAGGGTCCATTTATCCAGCCAGTTTCTAATTATGTATTGTAGATTACTGAAGAGATTACCATATGAGAAGTTTAAACTCTCTGCTGGATCATTGGGGTTTTATATACTTTTTGATGCATCAGCATAAGAATGTTTTCCTTACATCTCCTATAGGTGATTTGCTAAAAATGTGTTTTGTAACTAAAATTTGCTGATAATGCATCTTGCATTTAGTCTGGAGACCTGAATAAGAAGTCTTATCCTACAGGAATCTTTCAAAACAAGACTTGACAAGTCAAAGGAGTGGGGTTTCTTTTCTGTCACTGCTGCTTATTGCAGCACAAGTTCAATCTGTTCCACTTAGTTACAGCAAATCCTACAAGCCTCTTCATGCTTTCAAAAAAAATTGAAAAACATAAGCAATCAAGACTAGACTTCTGAATAGCAGAGAATGGGGGGGGGGAAGAGGGTGCATTTTCAGTTAGCTTTTCCCTGAACTTCATTGCATGTATATACTGAATTGAGTGAACATGTGACATCTGTGTGTCTCCTATTTTGTGAGAGCATATTGTAGATTAACTACCTCGATTGTCCTAAAAAAGCAGAGGGACTGCTGTCCTGGGACAGATGGAAACTGTTCCCAGCTGCAGCAGAAACCAATCTAGTTACATCCCTCCCTGACTGGAGATTCATTTAATTAAAACTCCTCTTTCCAGAAATGTGAATGGACAAAGCTGGATAATTGACTCTAATGAATAGAAAACTTAATAGTTGTGTTGCGAGAACCACAGGTCCGATGATGCATACCCAAGGGGGGAAGGACAGAACCAGGTGGACCATTTTAATAAACTAAAGATATTTGACAGTGATGAATTTATAGTATTTATTCTAAGATTTTTAATAAATGGTGTTAATGAATTTACAGTATCTATTATATTCTATGATTTCTAGTTAAACGTGTCAAATATAAGGATGGGAACGGTAAGGGGAATAGTCTCTATTCTAAAGATATCCAGTTACATTAATTACCAGTGATAACTACAAACTCTATGTACTACCAAAAACAACTACAACACTAAGCTTATACAACAAGAAAATAAAATCATACATACCAACTTACACAGCACACAGAACATTTCAAAGATATCGGTTCGGTTGCGAAGGCCTTGGTTATGCCAGAGTCGGGGGAGGTGGCTGGTCGGTTGATCAGGCCGGCAGTGCTTTGGAGTATACGGGAAGGTGCACACACGGTGGTACGTGTGTTGCGAAGACCTCCTCGAGCGAACTGTGTGATGGGTATTTATCCCCAAGTCCGCTGATGGGTATTTATCCCCAAGTCCGCACATCACTTTCCCACACTTGCATATTACCATATATGGGCCAACGGTCACCAAGTGGGGGTCTGTGTCCCAGGGGTTGGGCCGAAACTGTGCAGGTTTCCTGCGACCAGGTAAGCCCTGCAGTTCTCATACCAAGGTGACAGGTGGGAGAGTCTGAGGCTATTTTCCCCTTTTCACACCTTCCCTTTTTCTAAAGGCAATGGTATGCAGGAAGGGTGCGTCCGGCTTCTCCCAAGGAGTACTGCAGCCCACTATAAAAAAAAGTTTAGCCAGGCTGCTCTTGTTACTTGGGGGGGGGGGTTCCTCTAACAAGTTGATGCCCTGGCAAACATTTAACAAATGGGCTACACGTGGAATTCCTGTGTGTGGGTGGGGTATGTTTGTTCTTTTTTGGGGGTCCTTTTAACCAGAATAGAATTGGATGAAATGGTGCACTCTTTAAAAGATGTAAACTTCAGGGAAGCCCATATTTTCATGTGGACCTATTGGAGGGCTTATAAACAAACCACAGAGGTTTAGGAAGGGGATTAGGCATATTATCTCACTCAGTGTAGATTCTGTTTAGCTTGTGTATTACAATGTGAATGTAGTATGTAAAACTCTTAATTGCAGAACTTGGGTTCAGACTTGCATTGTAGTGGCTATTTAACACCTATTGAGATGTTTCACTAGGAGCCACTAGCAGGTTTGATACATAACTTGCATGACGAGTGCTAGAACTGGAACAATTTGTGTAGCTGGGGTGCTGAGATGCATTGAACCAAACTATAAACCCTGCATATGATGGAATCCACTTCAAATTGAAGGTGCAAACGTAAATATGCATGGCCATACTAATTGTGAGTACTTGCCTTGAATTGCTTGCAAGTGCTGCTCTTCTGGCAATTGAACTAAGTTGGCCCCAAATGACTAGAGCCAAGTGAAGATGTTCACGGCTGCATCCTCTTGGAATGTGGATGGGGGAGGTACCTAAAATGGAAGTCTCCACTAATAGGCAAGGGAAAGTATTGTTTTCCTCAGAGCTGCCTATGCTCTCCACCAGCTGCCTGGGAGGGCTGGGGCAGTGATGTGGCAGCCAGGCTCCTTGGAGGGTTGGGACATGCCCCCTGCTGTGTCTGGGGGAAGTCAGCTGCGGTGTGAGGTGGGCTTGACCCCACTGGGGGGGAGGATGTGGATGGGGCAGAGCCTCAGGCTTGACTTCCTCACCTGAGCTTTCACCCACCACCCATGTCTCTGTCTCCTTTTCCTTATCAAACCTTTTTTTTTTTTTTTTTTAATCTTGTCTTCTAGAAAACATTGAGGCTGATGTAGAAGCTGCTCCAGGCCAGAGTGACGAAAAAACCCTGCCAGCTGCACCTGTTCCTAGCCCAGTAGCACCAGTACCTGCACCATCCAGGAGAAATCCACCTGGTGGAAAGTCCAGCTTAGTCCTTGGTTAAACCTGTTCCTTTCTGTTTTGAACTCGTGTCTGTTTCTTCCCCCCCGCTTGTGAACTGCACAACTTGAGCCTGACTGTACATCTAATTCCTTTCATTAAAAAGAAGCACTTTATGTACTGCCATTTTTTAAAGAAGCTTTTTTTTTTCCCCACTGTTTTGTCTGCCCAGGATCTACTGGAAGTGACATGGGTTTTTTTTTTTTTTTTCTAGTAGTAAACATGAGGGAAATTGTGGACGGATAGTAATGTGTTTCAAATGAGACTAGATTGGTTCTAAATGTGCTTAGAGGGTTTTTGTACTGAGACTTCTTTTTTTAAAAGAACCTCTTAGTCAGCTTTACAAGGGTTTAGGATTCTGATTGAACAGGAGGCAAACAATAAGAGTAATCCCCTTTACCACACAACTGTTGGTTGATTTCCCTGTGGTAAATGTCTCAAGCCCTACTGTGCCATATAGAACAATACAGAAGTATGATGCTAATGTATGCCATGCTGCCTTTAATAAGGGGTATCTTAGAGTTGGACCATTATGAAATGGGGCATGTGCCATATGTAGGGCTGAGATGCCTGTCCTAATATTGAGAGGTGGATTTAGGTGTATAGCAAAACTTTAATTCAGTAAAGGTGGAATGAGGAGTAGATCATACAAGAGTGGCTAGTCAAATAAAAATTACAGGGGCATTTTATTATAAATGACTCAATGCTGTGCATGATCATGCTGGTGCTTGACCATGAGGTGAAAATCTTATCCTTTTAAAATGTGTGTTGTAACTTCACAAAGCTGGACTGTTGCTTAAAAGTAAATAATATAGAAGTTTTGAAGCAGTGTTTCCTGTGTGGGTTTTATTTCAGTGTCCCTTTTTTTTTATATATATATATCTTGTCTCTATTGCTGGTACAGTATACTTTGAAGCATTTCAAAGGAAATATCCCTCATCACAATAGCTTAATTAATCTAGGCGTGTAAAAAGACATGAGCAATGTTCCCTCGGATCTTTGCCATCCAGGTGCAGAACAAATGTTTAATGTGGTGCACATTCAACATGCCTCAATGCACAAGTAGAAACACAAAGCTAGTTGTGGGTGCTCTACTAATCAGCTGGACAGCACTGGACTCTCCTGAGTGGCTGCAAAAGTGCCCATCTTACAGGGAGCTCTGGACATGAGGACTTGTAAATCAAGAAACATCACACAGGAGCTGAGTTAGAAACAGTAGAAGTATCATGAGATCAGAGTAGTGCTCCACCTACTCTGTGCTGTCAGCCAGGGCTAGCTCATATGAAGCATGATGGCTTCCTTTTTAAAATAACTGGATGTCTAATTCTTGCAGAATGGGACTAAGATCTTAGTCAAAGGACCGCTTGTGGCAATGAGGCTATTGGCTAATATTTCATGCTATTTTGCTGTCTCGGGAGGGGAACTAAGGCTTGACCTACACTACAGTGAAAGGTGGAATAAGATGTGCAACTCCAGATATGGTGGCAAGTACCAGAGGGGTAGCCATGATAGGCTGGATCTGCAAAAGCAACAAGGAGTCGTGTGGCACCTTATAGACTAACAGATGTATTAGAGCATAAGCTTTCGTGGGCAAAGACCCACTTTGTCAGATGCCTCTTTGCCCATGAAAGCTTATGCTCCAATACATCTGTTAGCCTATATAAGGTGCTACAGGACTTCTTGTTAATAGTACTCCACTCAACTGTGTATCTTAAATCTAGTTTCCCACTATGCTGGTAACAGCAAGTTGACAGCAGCTTCCCTTACTCTCTATAAGGAGCAGCAGTACTGATACTGGTGAGGGGGAGGCACCCTCTGAGTTCTATTTAGCTCATCTTCACTAGACTTGCTAAATCGAACACCAGATTGATGCTGCAGTGACAATCTTCTACAGCGTGAAGCCTTTGCCAACTACCCACAGGTGTTCCAGAAGCAGACATACTATGACTTGGTTTATTGCTATTTTTTCCTCTTTAGCGCTAACATTTAGTTTTCAAATGGGGCAGGGAAAAACTTTAAATACTTGGTTCTAACATTTTGTCTTTGTAACAGTTTTTTTGTCACTCACATTTAGCTCAAGCTTGCTCTTCCATTACCAGGGGCATGTGTATCACCCAGCATGAGCACCACCAGAACTGGTGTTTAAAAAAAAATCTAAGCGTGCCTTCATTTGACTCAGCAAGTGTTGTGGAAGGGCAAAGACTTGGACTGAATCCCTCCCCCTAAGAACCTACCAGTGCAGCTTGCTCAAGCCGAGCTGTAGTCCACTCCTATTAGCCAAACAAAACTGGGAGGAGGCCTCAGAGCTCCGCCCTGAACCGGACTACAGCTACCGTCCCGCTCCCTGCAGGCGCCTGAGCGTGCCTTCATTTGACTCAGCAAGTGTTGTGGAAGGGCAAAGACTTGGACTGAATCCCTCCCCCTAAGAACCTACCAGTGCAGCTTGCTCAAGCCGAGCTGTAGTCCACTCCTATTAGCCAAACAAAACTGGGAGGAGGCCTCAGAGCTCCGCCCTGAACCGGACTACAGCTACCGTCCCGCTCCCTGCAGGCGCCTGGCTGCTCTTCAAGAGCAGCAGGACAGGCTGGGGAACGCCTTCCGGCCAAAACCCCTCCCCCTAA